GGGGGGGAAAAATCCTGCTAAAAGCATCCCTACTCTCTACAGCACTCAATTCACACATATTAGCCACTACTTAACTTAGGTGTCTCTTTTATGCTCCATACAGCAGCTCCAATGTACTCAGCAGGGTGATTTTTCAGTAGCTGCTGCAGAGTGCTTTGCAGAGCATCAAAAACAGCTTCCTCAGCTTTTTATCTCCCCATTCACTTGTTTCCGTTAAATAGAAGCTGGATTTCACATGAGGGCACATCAGGAAAAGAGAATGAGGGGCGCACACTTTTTGCATGGATTTTTGGTTGCTTGCTTGTTTTGTTTTTCCTTAGGAGTGGTTTACACTTTGTTTATGTACCTGCCTATATTAAAGTATTTCACATTGAATACATTACTCTAACACCTATCTGTGCTCTACATGATTTAGAATAGAGGAAGGACATTGTCTCCATTGTGAACATCCTCCACCTCCTTCTACCCCAAAAACCTCAATGGGAATAGAAGGCATTTGGGCCCATTCAAGTGAAAGAAACCCTACCTAACAGAGCTCTAAGTTTGGTGACTAGGCCCCATACACACTCCTTGGGGAGAAAAAAATAGGCACTAAAGAATGGGATTCAAAAAGTGCAGCCAACAAACAAGGTTTTTGCCCCAGGTGAGTTGCAGTTTCTGACGGCAGCTAGACCTGAGCTTCCTAGCTCATTCCTCTTCACAAGCGTAAAAGCTGTTCTCAAGATGGACACCACATTCATTCATTTTCACAGAGTTTAGGCGAGAAGAGTTGTACCAGAGAAACAGTTGTGGTTTAGCTGTCATGCTTTACATACGAGGGAGAGAAGTAATTCTATTCCTTCATTTATGCTAATAAGTCAGAAATGAGAGGAGAGGTCTAAAAGTACCATACCGAGAATCATACCCCAGGTCCAAAAAAATCAAGCAAGTAATGGGGCTGAACTAGCGTCTCCCATAACTGGTTACTTTTCTGACAAGACAGAAAGTGAGACGTCTTTCTCCTGCTTCCTTAGTGCAAGATCTGAGCTGAGGATGCAGTAGACACCAAAAATAAGACAAGGCCTAACTGGTAAATGAAAGATACAGAAGTAGTTAACTTAAATGCCAGCAACACGAGCACCTCCAGCATCAGCTGGAAGCACAAGGAAGTTGAGCACAGTTTGGGTTTTAGACAGAAACACTTACAGTAAACTATAATTCCCAATTCAAACACAAGGAGCTGACCCTGGGTGCCATCCAACATTGAATCTATGCATAATCAACAGTTTTCATTAAGAACAGAAACTATATGTTTTGCTAAAAGCAAAAAAGAAAACAAAACCAAAAACCACCAACCCCCCCCCCAAATTACACAACTGGGTTTTTTGGCAATGAAAAAATATCCATTACCTTAGAGTTTTATATCTGAAGGACCTAATTCAAAGCTCATTGAATTCATTTGGGGAAGAGAAAAAAAAAAAACCAAAACCCTCTCACCCCAGTGAGCTTTAGAAGGCCAAAGTAACTTGGGGAGATGGTGGGTTTAAGATAAGGGAATAAATAGCTTATAGTAAAGCTTTGACTAAATTCCCATCCTGGTTTCTTCAAATTTCTTGTATGTCAAGCAGTTTTATTGCTTATAGATAGCTTAGAGTTTATGCTCCCACCAGACACCCAAATTTAACTACCGTTATTAATATGAATGTCAATAATAGCTATACAGCAGTGGGAAAATACATTCACTCAGCATTTCATCATGGAGGTATATTAAAATGCCTACTGCATGCCTGTTTGTCTAGTAAAGTAATCACTGAAAATTGTATCTAGACTGCACGTATGCCTGCCAAGGAGAATTTATGGGAGCCTCATGTTTTGTATTTTGTGGATTACTCTAGAAATGGTCTCCCTCTTACACAAAGCCATATTTAAAAGTTAGACTGTTCAAACCAAATTCTGCATTTCATTAGCCAGTCCTAAACATGTTTTCAGAAATCACTTCTCAGAGAAAGTACTTGCTAAGTATTACTGCTAGGAGAGGAGGAGAGGAGACCCCACAGTCACCTGAGTGAATCAGAACCTGTACTGAATGGCAAAGCTACCGGTGCCTGAGGAACAGCCTTCTCTGAAAAAGCAAACTCAGCATTTCTATGGGATTTATGCCAATATCCTTGGCATTATTACAGAAATCTATCACAGTTATGACTTTCTAGTGCAAGGTATAACACAGATTTGAACAAAACTGATGAGGTGGAGGGTTTTGTATGGGTTGGGTGGTTTTGGTTTGGGGGTTTTTTTTAATAGCAACTATTTTTTTTCCCAATTGTTCAAATAAGTAATTTAAATGCGACTGCTCTTTCCATACTTCAGCTGTACTAATCTGTACTGATTTACCCTCCATTCTTTCATTTGCAGATTAAGCCAGTGATTCTGTACTACACAAGTCCAAGATACTCTAGAGAAAGACAGACTTTCAGACTTATGTGCAAATTACTCTATTCTGTATATCTTATAAAAAACTTCCCAGACAGTAATGTGTACAAGTCACCTACTATCTTTATTAGACAGGAGAGAAGGTGAAAGAACCAACTGAAACCAGAATTAAAGGGGAAAAAAAAAAATATAATTTAAGTCACCTACATGATGATTTAGTTGTAATTTAGACCTGTAGTTAACTGCGTAATAGCCCCAGCGATTTAAGTTTTGCTGCAACTCAACAGCAAAGATAGGGCTTTAGTATGGCAGTGTTGAGACTTGATCAGAGAGTTGATACTGAGGATTAGAGACATAAGATGGTAAGAGACAGTTCATTTCAGAATTCAAAGAATAAACAATTTTATGCATTTTACCCTACATACAGGAGATGCCTGGCCAAGGCACTGGTCCTCTTTTGACTTTTTTTGATGTTTCAGAGGTGCAGCAGAGCCGCTAAGCTAGGTAACCGAAGCAAACAGGAAAGCTTGTGGCTCGTGATTAAAAAGCACAGCCAGAAACACAAAGCTCAATTCTAGCAATCCCATGTGCTGAAATGGGAACCGGGCAGCTGAGGCTATTCTAAACTGCATCAGAGATTAAACCAGCCTGTGACAAAAGGAACCTTCACTCCAAAATCAACCTAGTGCTCATTTTGTCTGTAACCGAAACATTTTTCACAGTAGCAGTGGACATTTGTAGATGGATATTGGAACGTTTTCTAATCTGTTTTATCACACAGTAGCAGTGCAGTAAGTTCACAATGTTTAATCCAAACACTTCTTTTTTTTTTTCCCCCTCATCTTTAAAGGGAGGTCCAATCCAGAACCGAAAATCCAAGCGTTGCCTGGAATTGCAGGAAAACAACGAAAATGAATTTGGATTTCAACTCGTCCTTCAGAAATGCACTGGACAACGCTGGTCTATAACAAATGTCCTGAAAAGCTTGTCATCATAGCAGACTAAATTTTTTACCCATTTCTTTTGCTACTGTGTAGCAAATACTGCATTGTTGCCTGCTGTACTGTATTCCTCTCGCCCCTCACCCCCCTGGTTCTTTCTCCCCTCTTTTTTGTCCCTTTGATTTTATTTTGTGAGTGTGTGGAAATTGGGTTTGTGGGCTGAAAATAAGACGTTTTTATTTCACAATGATGTTTTCATGGCATTTATAGAGACGTTGAATGACAGGTGATGGGTAGGCTATCCTAAAATATTTTACAACTGTAAATAGGAAACAAATGGAGAATATTTATAACTCAAACTTTTATTGAATAAAAAAGTCCAAACACGATTTCTGTCTCCATGGAAATGGGTTTGTAAGTTAAGTGGTGGTTTCGTTTTGATTAACCCAAGCCTGATCTTGGCAAGTAGCTGCTGAGAATCAGTATTCTCTAGACTTGTGGTAAAGAGTCCTACCTGCACACCAGCAGCTACAGTGAAGGAGGATTTTTCTCCCTTCTCCCTCTAGGGACACCTGTCTAGAACACTGTCCTGTGCAAATATGGGGGCAGGAGGCGTGGAGATGTATAACATGCACCCACATACTTTTCCTCATCAGTACTACTAAGTAAAACCACAGCAAGAACCCCAGGGCTCAAGTGAGGCGGGGAAGAGATTTAATTAAAAAGAAGAAAAAAAGCTACAAGAGAAAAGCAGCAGCTACTGGAAGAAAAATACAGGAAAAAAACCCCATGACATTTCTCAATGGGTTGGGCTCCGTTTCAATGACTGCATTTCCAATTGTTTGCAGTTCTTACAACTTCTTTGTTTGATTTTTTTTTTTTTTTAAATGCACTGTTCCCTGGCTACCACAGACTTTGATAAAAAATGGCTCCATCCAAGAGCAGCAGTAAAACATATGAATTCATCCTGCCTTTCTCGCTCCCTTTAAGGAGCTATGAATGCAATGCCGTATCACTTCATCGCAGCTAAGACTGGGATGAGGCGAGGAAGAAACAGTCTGATGAGATAAGCCAGAACACTAGGATTACCAGCCTTTTTATTTTCAGCTGCTTTTATTTGCATGTAATTTCCCTCTCTTTTATTACTCTATTTGTTCTTTTTATTCTGTTGTTTGTTACCTTAAGTAACAGTCATAACCTCTTTTGGAGCTGGTTATGTGCCAAACTGTCTTTTACAGACTAGCTTCACATTCAGGACCAGCTAGCAGCATTGTTCCTCATGACTGTTTAATAAGTGATGTGGCACATTAATTATATGCGTTCAACCTTCTGCTATATATAGTTACCATGCATCTGCTTCTCAGAGAAGAAAGTGCTGAGCCAACAACAGGAAAACAGTAACAGCCAGTAAAGATGGGTTTAACACCTGCACTTTGACCGACTTCAGAGGTCCCTCAGGCCTGTCTGAGTGAAAACCCCCACTAAAATTAGAACCCTGAAAGAACATCAATAACCTGAGTGTCAGGGTACCACAGCTGGCCAAGATAAAGCATTTTTAATTTCCCCCGGTAGGGAAAACAGGAGGTGGCTGCACAGGCGAGCCAGTTCTCCCGTACCCTGGAACATGTGCAGTGTCCCGATGGGAAAGGGCTCAGTACACAGCATGCAGAGCCATTTTGAGCATTCCCAAGTTCCGCCACTGACCAGCTGGACTTACTTATTTTTTTACAGGCATTCCAGATGAATGAGGAGGAAAAGGTACATTCAGACAAAGCAAAGAACTTGTACAGAGTAGCATGAGATAAACTAAGCTTCCTTTCAGCAAAGGTACCGAGACACCAGTGCATGGAGATGCAGCCATGAAGGAAAAACAAGTGGTATGGATCACATGAGTCTCCTCTGATTCTTACAGGCCTATTGTGTCCTGAGCTGTAACTTTTTGGGGGGGTATGAACACTAGAGGGAGATATCTGGCAAAGACTTGACAAAAGTGCAAGGAAGCTGAGCTCTGAACTGTTTCATTTCATACCAAAATGAATATTGTATGGCTAACATTTGCCCAAAGATGACTGCAGTTATTCCCCGTTACAGTGCAGCAGTGGGCTCATGTTCGGGACTGGGGGGGCGCGGGAGGAAGTAAACAACCCTACCCAAACAAAAACCCTTAAGTGAGCCATTTAGCCTCACCATGCCATGTTTGGTGCCATCCAGCCACACCTGCCCACTACACACCAGTTCTAAACCTGTTGCTCCCCTTCATTCCCATGGGGCCTACACCGAGGAACGGTTTTCTTCAGCTTCTCTAAAACAGAACAATGTTACTGGGAAACCCTCAGTGATCAGTCTGGGTTTAAATTCAATCCCAGTGCAGTTCTAGGAACTACAGTGGAATTACCAAAATAAATGCTGGGGGGGAACCCAAAACATAACTCCAGACTTGAAACATTACTTTATACTACAGCAATTCAGCTATGTATAAAATAAATTTATTGTAAAAGGCTTTTACCTTTGTTTTGAATCATGATGTAAACATTTTTATGTGATAACTTACTGAAAAAGGGAAATGGGTTTAAAGCTGTGGCTAAGCCTACTTAAATGATATAGTAGAAATTACTGTGCACTTTCTGGGACCCTAAGGTCTTAGAAAAGATCTTCTTTTATATGCCTCTTCTCTTGGAAGAGAGAAAAAAAACAGAGCAAAACAAGCATAACTGAAGGACATCACCATCTTTTGCTAGACACATGCTCACTTTTAGTCATGAACCGCCACATTGCCACTTTCCTTTTCGGATACACAGGAATTACATAGATACAGCAGCAGTGCCTTACCCTGTATAAGACAAATAATCACTATACTAAGTGAAAAATAAAACTAATCTTCACTTTCAGGAACATTACAGAATATTATTCAGTCATCATATGCCTTTAAAATATTCCCAAATCTGCCTTTACAATGGTTGGGTTTGTTATTTAAATTGTTTTAAAGAGGGAAAGCTAGCACTCAAGGGCAAAACCAAATATTGTTCCAGAAGTCGTATAAGTCTTCACCCAAATATGGTTCAGCTTTTGAAAGGAAGAATGATTCTAAGGAAGCTCTGAACCACAGTGTAGGTGACAACTGCTCAAATCTAAAAGAAAGTATTAAGAGGTTAAGTCCATCCTTTAAACTCTGCTGACACCCTTGGTCAGTGATCCTTCATGTGGGTGGTATGGACTTTTTATAAAATGTAGCACACAAAATTTTTAAAATACTGATGCTTTCTTACTACTAGAAAGCTCTACAAAATCCTACCTCTTCTGGCAGCTAAACCTGGGTGTCCCATAACCCAAGTCCATGACTATCCAGCAATCTCTGGCTCACTCATTTATCCACAAAAGGGAATTCAGATTGTCCAGCTAAATCTGGGGGGCTATTGACACCTCAGCTTTTGGGCACATAAAAATGCATCTCCTTGGTCAAAGGCAGCAACTTAGTAAATCTGCAATAGAGTAAATCCGGTTCACAAACCTCAAGCACAGCATAGTGCGTGCTGGCTGCAGAGGTTTGCCACCTCTCAGCCAGGCCAGAGAATGAAGAGAAAGCTCTTGTCAGCACACACAAAGAATACCGTAAGCCTTAGCGTGTCATTTTGGCTAATATAGTTCCCTTAACTTCTCTCACTGTTAAAACCACTTGTATCTCAGTGTCTTATTTTCCCATCTTTGCTTGCTCTAGAACTGTCATACTAACAGTTAACCTCAGCAAATCTGTTCATTTTCTGAAGAAAAAAAAACAAAAACAACAGGAATGAAATACCTGTATTTAAAGTGCCCATAGGTGACAGTGATTCTCATACCATTTGTGAATGTTTTGCTGCAGATGACATTTCAATTCAAAGCAAACCACCAAAGGCTACATTCGTATCTTCAGCCTCTCTTAATAAGGGTTTTCCGTGTATCGTATTTTTTGCTATTTACTGCTCTTTTACCATTTTCTGTATTCTCCTAGATATTGTTCAGCTACATAGCAAAGAGTAAGCCTTTTACCACCTGAGTTCCAAACGCTCTGGAAATGCTCCCAATTAAAGAGGAGATACTAAAAATATGTCCCAAACATGTCTAAGATCATCTTGAAAAAAAAGTGACAAATCACAAATTGAAAGCTTCTGCCACTTCCCACAGTCTGAAGATCTCTGAGCAGTTCTTACTAAAGTCCAGAGTTAGCATGAGACTACTGAAATGCTGTGCAACCTGCTGTGCCAATACCTGCTGGTAACAGGCATGAATCCTCACCTCGTGTAAGTTAGCACACATGCACCAACTTTGAGGAACAGCATCAATTCCATATCATGAGGAACTGGCCTGGATCCCCAAAATATGCCTCAAGCAAGACTCAACATCGAATTCCACAAATAACCCCTGTTTATACATGTGCGTTAGTAGTGTTCAGGACTCACACATGCAGTTTCAACCTGTACAAAAAATGATCTTACCAGCCAAATTGGATGCTGACAATACCTTTCTAAACAGTTGGAAAAGCACAAGACAAACACTGCAAAGACAAGAGTTAAAAGTTACCCTGTGGACAGCAACTTCCCAAAACAGCTCTTGTGTTCTAAGTATTTATGCTGAGCATACCTAGTCAGATTTGGCAGACATTTGGAGAGAACTTGTTTTATTAAGAGATGAAGAAAGACCATCATCATGCTAGAGAAATGAATCACCTAGATTTTTACTGTTCCTCATACACTTTGCTATTGAGCACATTTTACCTAGGTACACATCACACAGGAAAGAAAAACCCAAACCACAAACCCAGTATCAGTAGTAACTTTAAATTTCTGGCACGTATCACTTTTCTAATCAGTCTTACTTCCCTATTCTAAAAAAGTGGAGTCCAAACTTAAACTGAGCTACTTTGAAGTCACATTGGATGGCTGTATATTAGATACCTAACCCTTCTGCCTGCAGCTGAATGCAATGCCTGCCACCTCCATTTATCCAATCTGTGGATGTTGTGCCTAGGCAAATGGGGTCATCTTACTGTTATGATTTCTGTGTATTTAGTAGTCAACAA